GGTTGGAATTATCAAAGGTTTTTGACCCCTGAGAGACACCGTAGGGTGGGGGTGGGGGGAGGACCAGGGAGGATGATTCAACCACTCAACCACTAGATGTCGCTGAAAACAACAAATACTACACACTGTGCCTTTAACATTTTATTACATTTTACCATTAGTAACAAGGTACATTTACTTGAGTACTGTATTTAAATACAGTTTTTGAAAATGTGTAATTTACCTGACGTATTTTTATTGAAAACATTTTACTTTGAGWGCGGTTAAGGGAGTTCTCCTGTAAGTTAAAATTACTTTATTTATGTAACCAGTGTGTTTCTGGTTTGATCCCTCTATTAATGAATTTCTAGTTTATTTTTAACAAATATTATTTTCAATTCAGTGAACTAGTACAAAAATACAAATTAGAGACTGAATTAGCTGGCAGTTCTTGTAAAAGGGCTACATTTAGGAAGATATACGTAGATTGAGTGGTTCAGCGGGTGTTCACAGAGCTCTGTGTCCAAGAACATTAATAGAGAGATGAAGGGAAGGAAAACGTGGCAGAAAAATGTGTACATGCAAGAACTGCACCCTGGAGAGGATTGTGAAACAAAACCCATTAAAACTGTGGAGGAGTTTCACAAAGAGTGGACCGCAGCTGGAGTCAGAGCTTCAAGAACCGCCATGCAGACGTATGAAGACATGGTTTCAGCTGTCACATGTGTCTAACCTTGAACAAGAGACAGCATCAGAAGTGTCTCACCTGGACTAAAGACAAAGAGGACTGGACTGCTGATGAGCGGTCCAAAGTTATGTTCTCTGATGAAAGTAAATTTGCATTTCTTTTGGAAATCAAGGTCCCAGAGTCTAGAGGAACAGGAGAGACAGGATCCACGTTGCTTGAGGTCCAGTGTAAAGTTTTCCCAGTCAGTGATGGTTTGGGTACATGTCATCTGCTGGTGTTGGTCCACTGTGTTTTCTGTGGTYCAAGGTCAACGCAACAGTCTACCAGGAAGTTTCAGACCACTTCCTGCTTCCTGCTGCTGACCAGCTTTATGGAGATGCAGATTTCATTTTCCAACAGGGTTTGGCTCCAGCTCACAGGGCCAAAGATACCAGTACCTGGTTTAAGGACCATGGTCTTAAAGGGATCCTGATTAGTTGTAACATTAGACTTTATTTGATA